ATCTAAAAATCCAATTAGACAAATCAGAATTTTTAAAGAAATCAGTAGAATTCTTAGGACATGTCATAACCCCAAATGGTATTAAACAATTTGTTTAAAGAAAGATAAAAAAGTAATTCACGATTCTGAATTTCTAAAAAGTTTTGTATCTTGTACAAACTTCTTAATCAATTATCCTATTTTATAACACCCTGATTTCGATAAACCCTTAGATTAGGGAGGGGAGAGGATACCGCGCACTGGTCTAACGCAATGCTAGGCTTTTGTTACATCAATTAACCGGCCGCCATTTTATTTGTGGCAAACAAGCTTCTGTGGCAGTGTTGATATTTTGTGATTTTGTGACTAAAAAGTTTTAATATTTGACAAAATTTTCTGCTAATAGACATGGTGAATTGTTGTGCTTTTCAGTGTAAAAGTCGTAGCGAGAAAAAGGAGCCGGGAGTATCTTTTCACAGGTAATTAATAAACAATGCATAATAAAACCATCAATATACAGGCGCTTTTTTTATATTAGGGGACAGATTTTATAAATGCCCTATAAGTATCAATTATACTGTGTGTAAGCAAATTACGGGCCTAAATATAATTCCCTATTTTAAATGTTTCGATTGAAAAATCAATAATTTTGTTAATTCGATCTGTCAAATCCTTTGAATCTACCAGTGGCGTAGACCATTTAAATACTCGATTTTAATTTAAAAAAGTCCTAAAAACTAATTAAGAGCGAATAAACTGATTATTTCCTAACTTACGCCCCAAAATACGTATATCCTGAAAAAATCGTAAATTTTGGCGTGGTGATCAACCATTTAGACATTTACCACAATATACCCTGGCTGAAACACCACAACAAAATAGATAACGAAGGCAGAGAAGCAGAAGCTTTTGCCATAAGTTGTGGTCTAACGCAGCTTGTCGACGAACCTACCCGTATCTCAGAAAGGGGCGAATTTGCAGCGCGTTTAGACTTGTTCCTAACCACCAATCCTGACTCGTACACAATTCAAGTAGATGCTCCACTTGGTTGGTTCGATCATAAACTTATAATAACAAAGTGCGAAATGCTCATCCCACCAAGCCTACAACCACTTCCTCGTAAAATGTGGCACTATAAATCGGCAAAATGGAATGACCTAAAACAGTATTACCTGGATTTTCCATGGCAAGAGGTTTGCTTTAAAACAGCTGATCCCACTATTTGCTGTAATGAAATAACACAAGTAAGCTTATCTGGAATGGACGCATATATCCCATATACAACTAAACGTAGAGCTAATGCAAAACCTTGGTTCAACAGACAGTGTCAAACGGCTGTACAGAAAAAACACAGAGCATATAACCTTTGGAAACGACAACAAACCGCTCAAAACCACACAGAATTTATAGAAGCCAGAAATAGTTGCAAAATTACTATTGACTCCGCTAAAGAAACATACAATCAAGGAATAAAAAACAGGTTGCTGAATTGTCCAAGTAGTTCTAGGTCTTTTTGGTCTCTTGCAAAAGCTGTTGGATCTAACTTCACCAAGTCATCCATACCACCACTTACAGATAAAAATAATCACTTAGCCACAACATCAGAGGAAAAAGCCAATATGCTTGCCCAAATGTTTTCCTCCAACTCCAACCTAACAGTGCCAAACGGAAAAATTCCACCGTTCATTGAAAGGGTTTCCCATAGTATGCCAGAGGTACCCTTTTGTCACAGAGAAATACGAAAATCCCTAAAAAAGCTGGATACAAACAAAGCAATGGGTCCGGATGGCATTCCCGCAATAGTACTCAAAAATTGCGCCAACGAACTCACCCCAACTTTCGCAAAATTATTCAATTTGTCTTACAGGCAAGGAGTATATCCATCATCATGGAAGTCTGCCGCAGTAAAACCCATTCCAAAGAAAGGAAAAAAGACAGATCCGTTAAACTATAGAATATATGGAAAGAGTTGTGAACAATCACCTAACCAAGTACTTGGAAAAGTACAAAATTATCAACGATAAGCAATACGGATTTCGAAAATATAGGTCAACTGGCGATTTACTTACATACGTCACTCACTTATGGCAAAAAGCGATTGCGGGGTGAAACAAGAACAATTGCCTTAGATATATCTAAAGCATTCGACAAAGTTTGGCATGAAAATCTGCTCAACAAGCTCAAAGCAATGGGATTATCGCCGAAACTTTGCACGTGGTTTGAAAGTTACCTAAAGGACAGATGCATTTATGTTGCACTGGATGGCCAGAACTCCAACTCTTACCAAATAAATGCTGGTGTGCCACAGGGAGCAATCCTTTCGCCAACTCTTTTCCTGATTTACATAAATGACCTCATAGATAAAACAGTAAATCCACTTTATTGCTTTGCAGACGATGGCAATGTAGTCTCCTCACTCATACCACCCACAGGTCTTTCCGCACGTGAATTCCATCATCTTAGACTAACTCAAATATCGCAGATAAATAACGACCTGGAGATAATAGAGGACTGGGGTAACAAAAACCTTGTACAGTTCAACGCGCAGAAAACCCAAGCAGCTCTGTTTTCAAAAAAGACCAGCACCGGTGAGCCAAACATCATGCTATCTGGAAGTGCTGTCACATTACAGAGTCAGTTGAACATCTTGGGGGTTACTGCAGAGACCAACATGTCTTGGCACAGTCATGTGGCAGATATTGCTAAAAGGGCCTCCCAAAAGCTGGGGGTGCTATTTCGTACAAGACATCTGTACACACCAAGCCAATTGCTGACACTCTACAAAGCCCAGATTCGACCAACTATGGAGTACTGCTCACATATATGGAGTGCAGCACCCAAACATACCTTAATGCTTTTGAATACCGTGCAAAAACGAGCTATCAAGCTGATCAATGACCCCGCACTTACTCGTAACTTGGATGGTCTCGAACATCGCAGATCTGTGGGCGATTTATCTCTCTTCTACAGGTACTATCACGGAAAATGCTCTGAAGAGTTGGCACGTATGATTCCACCAAGAGTAGCACCTACCAGGCGAACCCGTCAAACAGACGGTAACCATGAATTTACTGTCAAACTAGAGGCACCAAGAACCTCATTATATCAGAATTCATATCTCTGGAGAACAGCATCGCTGTGGAATAAACTCCCTGCGACGGTTTTCCCTGCAGGTTACAACCTGAACCGTTTCAAGACCAACATATACCGACATTTCCGCGCACTTGCCGCTTCTCGAGCGTGATAGGACATTTCCTTGCGAGTGCGCATATCCGTAAAAAAAAAAAAAAAAAAAAAAAAAAAAAAAAAAAAAAAAAAAACCGTTTTAACTACGTATGATTTTGTGATACGCCACTGGCCTAAATGGTCTTGGGCCAGCCGGAAACACGCAGGCTTGACGGATTACCAGTCCTCTCTCTTTTCTTGTCTAAGGATAAACCATTTTCATCAACTCCAGACGCAACAAATTATACTATTGGCGCTGTATTGTCACAAGGACCAGTAGGTTCAGATTTACTAATTGCTTACGCAAGTCGTACATTAAACCCTGCGGAATGTAATTATTCCACAATCGAGAAATAATTACTAACCATAGTATGGGCAACTAAATACTTTAGACCATACTTATTTGGACAGAGATTTACAATTTTATCTGACCATAAACCACTTCAATGGTTAGTCTCTGTTAAAGAACCCGGATCTAAATTAATCTGATGGAGATTAAAATTAGCGGAATATGATTACGAAATCAAATACAAGAAAGGAACTCTTAATATTAATGCAGATGCATTATCAAGACCTCCTTTACAACTAAATGCTACTTCCATATCAGATTCCAGTACAGAATCAGATTCCGATGAAAAGTTTCATAAAGCTTTAGGAGCAATGTTAAAACACACCACTTAATAATGATGAGATAATTGAAAAATATTTCAAAGATACTAAGATTTTTAAACCTCTAATACAAGCAAAGAAACTTATTAATAAAGGTAAAGGAATTAAAATTAATGACGAACATAAAGATATTCCATTGTCCGAATCTACTCGTTCAGCAGATTCACCACAAAGAGAAAAAATAAAACCTAAGATTAAAATCTTATCTCAAATAATAATACCTCCAAAAAGATTGAAGAAAAATCCAATTGAAACAGATATAAGGTCTGTTCGCAGAGAAATCACAAACCAGTCAGAGTGAATCTCATTGGTTGAAACTAGTTTTCTGACTGTTTCTGATTGTTTTCAACCAATGAAATTCGCTCTGACTGGTTTGTGATTGCTCTGCGAACAGGCCTATAATTGAAAAAGACTTAGAGCGGGTATTATAAAACTATTTTGACAGACAACTAAAAGTTAACTTCTGGAATTACTATGAGAAGTAACGTCATTCCAAAAGTTAACTTTTGGTTATTCTGTCAAAATAGTTTTATAATACCCGCCCTTAATGCAAGAAGATGATGAAGTAATCGAAGACTATTCACACTTCTCTCGAAAACCCTATTCTAGGAGCCCCTTATGCAAAAAAACATGTTAATCTTTTCGCTAATCATATCATTTTTAGATATTCTAATAACAATACTATTCGCAAGAAAGTATTATTCCATTTCCTAACAAGACAACAACAAGAGTTACAGAAAATGTTTAATCTTTAAAGAAACGATATTATTGGCCTAATCTAGAAAAAGACGTACAAGCATATGTCAAAACATGTGAAATATGTAATAAGACAAAATATGAAAGGCAACCCTACAAAATAATATTCAAACCTACTCCAATCGGTTCAGTGGCGTAGCCAGCCTTGCGGGGCGGAGGGGGCAAACACAAGTAGATGGAATAGGGGGGTAGACTCCAACGCTGACCTACTTTCCCACTGACCTACTTTCACCAGATGGCCCCGCCCGCCCACCCGCCACTTTCCTACCATTCGTCCACCACCAGTCGTCAACCGTGAATTTCCTACCCTTCATCCGCTACCATACACCATATTTATTGGCTCCTAGTTGGGGACTTTTCATTCGTACACGATGTCTGATTCAGTTAACCTCAATCGATTCAATCAGCTTATTGAAAAGTTGTCTAGTGAGTTTAAAAAAAGTGCAAGGTATTACGATATCAATTGTATGCGTAGTAGACCTTCATATGTGGATTGGTATCATAATCTAGCTGAAAAACATTATGGTGCAGCTAGTGCTTGTAACGAGTATTTAATAAACAAAAATTTGTTCAATCTATTGGAAAAGTTGACGAGCTTAGGATTTGACGAGCAAATAGCAGATTTGAAGGATGATATTGCAGATAGAGAGGTAATTAAATATATCGAGGAACAAAAAGAAAAAGTTAGATTTATGGCTGTAGAAGAAGCATTAATTTAATATGGAAGACATTGTGAGGGAATTGTGTGAAGACTTTCTAATGTCTAAAGTTTGTTCCGAATTTTATGCCATAGATGGACAGGAAACTGAGGCTCAGGATTTGAGACTATACTTGAGATACATGGAGCATGCACAACAATGTGAAGAAGCAGCACAAACCTGTCGCGAATATTTGATAAATAAAAATTTTGAAATGCTTCTATGGAAATTGAATAGGTTAGAATTAACTAAATGTACTAACTATTTAACCAAATGTATGAAAAAACTAGTTTAAAAAAACTTTTGTATTATTTAATTAAAATGATTTTTACATATTTAATCAATGAAACAATAATTTTAGGCTTTTGTAATAATTGAAAAAACTATGATATTATAAATGAATAAAAAAAGAAACACAAATTTTTGTAAAGTTTTATTACATAAAAATCTGATCATACAAGAAAAAAACATTTGATAAGGCACAGATACATGGTGATTTGTTGTGATAAAAGCAGCTTGAATCCATTTTCTTCAAAGAGGGTTGTTCATCTAGCTCTATTACTGGTTTGTTGGAGTATTTTCTAACATAATCAGCCTTTTTAGAGCCTTTAACATAGACATAGGAAGCATGAGAACATAAATTTTTGATTATATCTGCACATTTGAAAAGAGGTGTGAATCCTGCATTCCAGTCGATATAGTGATGATTGTTAATAAGCCAAGTAGCCTGTCTATGATGTTCTGGCGATAGATAATGAAATGGAAAAGGGGGCTTAAAAATGTAGTGACTAATTCTTTTTCCATCATAACAAGCCAATTCCTTTACAATAAACTTTTTATTTTCGATAGTAAATCCTTGAACATCCAAAATTATATTCATAATTTCAATTGTGAAAATTTTTTGAACATTTGTTTTTTGGCACTATAGTTTTTTATTTGCTTTTTCAATTTTTCAAGTTTTATCATGTGTTTCAATAGCTGTTTTTCAAAGTTCTTAGACATAATGACAAATATTAAGGAGATACTCTCGTTTTATTTAAAGTTGTTTAACAATTTTATTGAGGGGGTTGTAACTAAATATTTTATCATGTAATATGAGACAATAAACTGATGTATCCTTCTTAATGTTACTGTTGGTTTCAAATTCAATTCTCATGACTACCGAACCAGTCTGGATAGATTCTTTTTGATGAGAACAGTCAATATGTGTGATTGGTGATATTTTTTTAAAATTTTCAGGATTAAAAATTGGCTCATTATTAAGCCCATAATACAAATTTCTGAAATTTGCAAACATTTCATAAAGGGGTGAAAATTTATTTTCTTTAAAGTTCAAATACAAGTCATGGTAAGGGTAACGCTCAGAATTTAGGAATATTCGTATGTTTGTTAAATCGACATCATCAAACTGGCTCATATATTTATTAACTTCCCCCTTTCTATTTTCCTGAAAGGCAATAACAACATGACGAGGTGACTCGAGCTTGCTTGTTGTCTTAACTGGCCAGGTATGGCGAGTTGTTTCGGGTAGGGAAGAATATTCAACAATTTCCCAACTCCTAAACCCTATTAAAATATATTTATTGGTTTCAAGTATTTTTGTCAGGGCAAGCTGTTGAGGTATGTCTACTGAATTATGGGGTATTTTCCAATATATTTTATCAAAAGTGATAGCAGGTATTTCGTTCGTGGTTACTTTAATTTCTAGATCATTTTTAAACAGAACTCCATCCAGATCATTGCTAGCTCTAATTAAAACCAATTCTTGCTTCATATTAATTATTATTTTTTTATAATCTTCAAAAAATCCTAAAAGCATTTTAAGCGGTATGGTTACACAAAATTTTCCATTATCGTCAACCAAAATTCTGTCAGCTTCATTTCTATTGGGAAACCACCCCGCATTCTCATATTTCAAACTTTCATTGGTATTGAAAGAAAGGCATCCCTTCAATGTAGAAGCCAACCCTACATTTCTCACTGAATCAATAGTAACTCCATTCAGCACATAACGAATTTCTCTAAAGAGAAATGAAATTCCATTATTAATAAATCGAAGTCTTTTTGTATATTTTCCTTCAGTATTTGCTAATGTCCCTTCAATATATAGAAAACTTTCTGAAGGTAAAGTGTAGGTATCCAATTCTTGAATGGGTATTCGTATTTCATCATTATAGTCAAACTTTGATGAAATAAATGGTTGATAGCTATGTAGCTCTGAGCTAATAATTGAATTGTCGACGTATAACTTTTCATTTACATTTAAAATATCCATTATATCAACACCTTAAGTCCCAGTGATTCTAAAAATCTGCGATTATGTTGTGTTAGTTGTAAGCTGTTTTTTGTTATACTGGATTGATTTCTAATTTTTTTCTTCATATAAGTTTTTTTAGTATTTATTTCCTCGATAGGTTGCGGTTGAATTTTTCTATTATATCTAATAACCATTTTGACCACCTTCAGATTTCAAATGTAGTCTAACTGTTATTGTCTCTTGGCGAAAATTAATAAGATCTCCGTCTTGATCAATTATTTTAACAGTTATGTTGTTAATTGTCTTAACGCTAATTGGAAAATACAATATAGGTATGGGAGACTCCACTATTTTATACCCTGCGGCCACTATGGGGTAAAATTGATGAATGATGTGTACAGGTTTACCATTATTGAACGAGCCCACACAAATATTACAATCCACACAAATAGCGTTCACTTTACTAATGTTGACCACATAGTCAGATTTATCAAATACATTAGCAGTAATAATTCTTTCTTTAAATCCCAATAGCTTTCCTACGGAACCTTCCTTCGAAAAATTAATCTCTTTGTTACAAAATATTTGACATTTTAAGGTGTTTGTATTTGGTTTGAGTGAAAACACAATTTTTTCATTTTCAAAAACATTTCTTATTGTGATTTTTATAAATTTTTCTATATCAGCAATGTCATAGGTACCTTCTGGAATCGTGATTATTTTATCATCTATGTACAACTTGTTATTATTTTGATCAATATTCGGAATACTCATAAAAGTTTCAAAATCAGCTAATCCTAAATAATATTGTTTTTTATCCTGTTAATATATAGGAGGGTTAAAATCTGCTGACAAAATGGAAGTTTTCCCAGATATGGTAATGGTTGTAGACATTTTAGTAATAAATAGTTTTAGCACCTAGACTTTCCTTTTTATATTATTATTCAGAAATTTTAGTGCTAATTGTCCACAATTGAATGAATTTAATTTTTGTTGAGTTTTATATGTGTAATATATATTAGCTTTACCATTTGAGTTGAAATATGCTACAAGTTCGATAGGTGGTTTTAAATTTCCAAAACTGTCAAAATAAATTACATTTTTATGTTCTTTGATGTAGGCGGTCCAATGGGTTCCGTCATTTTCTTTATTATCCAAGTTAACTATACCACATTCAATTATCTTAATTTTTCTAGGAAGACCATTTCTCATAAAAACACCTCTAAAATTTGGAATTTTCAAATCTTTCACAAATTTGAGTATATCTATATTTGTAAGGGCCCTGCCTGGAAATTTCATTTGGATTTTTTTTTATGTGGTTTTTTAATTTACCACCTTTATAAGGTTTTAAAAATAATCCTTTGCCTTGAAAACGGTCTGCTTTAGAGGATTTAGACCCCTTTCCTTTCGAAACTTCCATGGCTTTATTATGACGTAATTCTTCTAGTTGATCTCTGCCAGCTTTAGCGTCATTGACAGCTTTAGCAATTCCAGCAGCACCACCCCCTAGAGCACCTAAAGCTCCCAGCAGTGGAAATAGTAGAGGTAGGAAACCCCCAATTTTTTTAGGAGGTTTTAAAATTCGTTTTTTTCTCAATTTTCCACCTTTCTTTGAACCCAAACCCATGCCAAATTTGCGTTTACCCTTCATGAGACCTGCAACAGTCATGGCGGCAATTTTTTCACCGATAGAAGAGTCTTTAGCTTTAAATCGCTTTCAAGCTTTGTCGGCTAAAATTTTATCTGCTTCGTGTCTTTTGGACAGTTCTTCAGATTGAGAATATGCAATGTCGTGCTCCCGACACGCGTCATCCAAAGAATTGATACCGACGTCTTCTCTGGCCAATCTTGTTTTCAAGTCAGTGCCTGGGCCACAAAATTTATACCCAGGAATGTGGATTTCAAAAGGAAGTTTGTTTATAAGCTTATTTACTAGACCTGAGCCTTTTTTAAATTTACTGTCTCTCGTATAATGTGTAATCATCAAAAGAATCAATTTGGAACTAAAACAAAAAAATGGAGGAACTTATATATAAATACTTTTTTTCTCTCTTCTTTTTCTTAGTACTATTTCGAATATGAGAATAGAAAAGCAAAAATTTTCAATCCCCATAGTTAATCATGATCAAAAAGTGAGTTCACAGCAATTTAGAAAACATGGTGATTTATTTGGTGGAAATTCGAAAAGAGCGCTTATTGTTGGAAGTTCAAATTCAGGAAAAACCAATCTGATGCTCACACTATTAGAGCATCCAAATGGTGTTAGATTTGAAAATGTATATATTTATTCAAAATCACTGACACAACCTAAATATGCATACTTGAGAAAACTCTTACTACCTATAAAGGAAATTGGATATTTTGAGTACGAAAATGATGAGTGTATTGTCCCACCCAATGATACAAAATCAAATTCTATAATTATATTCGATGATATTCCATGTCAGAATCAAAGTGTGATAAGAGATTATTTCACACTAGGTAGACATAAAAATACCGATTGCTTTCTAATATTTCAAGGATATTCCTCAATTTTCAATAGATTAATAAGGGAAAATTCAAATTTAATTATATTATTAAAGCAAGATTCGACAAGTTTGAAACATATATATAATGACCACTGCATAATGGACATGTCATTTGATCAGTTTAAAGAAATATGCACTTATTGTTGGAAGGAGCCATATGGATTTATGGTAATTGACAAAGATTGTGACTTAAGTGCTGGTAGATATAGAAAAAACCTCGATTCATTTATATATTTATAAAACGATTGAAAACTAGCATGGATAAACGCTCAGCAAGAGAATTAGTCAAGTCAAGAAAAGCAGTAAGGGTTAAATTCCAAGCCCTCAAGTTAGCTTCTTCGACCGCACAATTAGAATTGGAGAAAGCGTATAGACCCATTACACAACCACTTAAAGAATTTATTACAAATATTGGGAAAGCCGAACCAATAACATTTAAAGAGGAAGAAGAGTTTAATCCAAAAGAGGAGTTTTCAACCCCAAAATCTTCCTATAAAACTTCAACTCCAACTAGAGAAAAAACTCGAAAAAGTGGAAAGACTCCTATTCTACCTTTTGAACAACCGTCATTTTTTGATATGTCCATAAATCGATTACCTTCAGTGAGGGAGGTGGCTTCAATAAGAGAGATGCCTTCACTAAGAGAGATGCCTCCAATAAGAGAAGAAGTGACATTCGAAAGCTCACCCCAATCATCGACTGAAACAATTGGAAATTTATCTGACATTTTGGAACAAAAAAAGCAGTCAATACAAACCTATGTTGGACATCCAGTCTATCTGGACTGGTTGAGTGATTTTGACGAGTTACCCAGAACGTATATTGACAATAGTGTAAAAGATACAGAACATAAATTTGATCACAATTATGGTATTGTCCACGATCTTGAAACAAACAATTTTTTTTTGGGTTCTACTTAAATTCCTGTTAACTTGATCAATAAAGATATAAAATTACTTGATATTCTTTACCCAGGCACCCCAGGGCTGTATGAATTATTATTCAAAAAAGAACCTGTGGGCTATAAAAAAGCCGATTTGGATAATTACATGGATATATTAACTCGAACTAATGCGTACCGCAGAAATAATAATCCCAATGAACAAGTACAAGGAAACAGTTCAGTAAAATACGTTACTATTATCGGAACATATTTATATAAAAAAGGAATCACAAAATCTAAAACAATCATTTCCAGACCGGTATTTGAAAAACCTGTAGCACCTTCTAGAGCGGCTAAAAAAACGGGGGTCGCTCGAATTGGAAAAGGTCTTATTTTGAAACGTAATAAAAAAAGTACAGATTATGTATATTGGGATAATGTTAATGAGCTAGTAAATCCACTTCGAATTCTATTAGCTTCCAAGACTGCAGGTCATAATGGACATCGAAATGAAATAATATCTATTATAGAAGAGTTGAAAGAAGCTAAAGTTATACTATAAATAGTGAAAGATGGGGTGAAAGGATCAGTCTTTTGTTTGAAGAGAAATATGACGGTCAATAAATTTGGTACACACATTTTTGATAAATGTGAGGATGGCGACACTAAATCACTCAAAATTGTTAACATTGCAGACGTAAAATTGTTTTACGTTGTAGTTTTACCATTTGTTGGTAGACACAATCCAACCGAAAAGAATTTGGTGTTTTTAGGAGATGGTTTAAGAACTTCATATAGATATCCATTTGAGTCGGGTACTATATTAAGCGGTGAATATCCTAAAAAAGATGTGTTTGTTGATTAATGGAAAAACTGGTAAATTAGAGGGTAGAGAGATTAAAAAAAATGATTTGATAGCATTTCGACGTGTTGAAAATAGTTCTATAACTGAATTCTACGGTGAATTATTAATAAAATGTCATGTTCAAGTGGAAACTTAGTTATTTAATTATGAGTGTTAAAGAAGACATAGTAAATGAATTGCATAAGCGGCAAGAAGGGTTTTCAAAAGAAGGCGGGTCATAGTAAAACATCTTAATGATTTACTACAGGCCGACCTGGTTGAAATGCAACCATATGCTAAAATAAACAAAGGCAACAGATATATTTTGGTTGTAATAAATGTGTTTTCAAAGTAAGTTTGGGCGCTACCAGTAAAATCTAAAACCGGAAGAGATGTGGCTGCAGCGATGGGGCAAATCTTGAAAAGTTTAAAAACTACCCCAAAAAATATTCAAACTGACAGGGGGAGGGAATTTTTTTGCAAAGAATTTAACAAGTTAATGGAAAAATATAAAATAAATCACTATAGTACATTTTCTAATGTAAAAGCAAGCATTGTTGAAAGGGTGAATAGAACCTTGAAAAACAAAATGTGGAAGAAATTTAGTATGCAGGGGAACTACAAGTGGCTAGATATTTTACCAGAAATTGTTAATAATTATTACAACACAAAACATTCAACAATAAATATTGAACCTAAGGAAGTTAATAAAAGAAATGAAGGTAAAATTTTAAAGATGGCTTTTAGTCATGCAAAGACATTCGATCCAAAATTTCCAAAATTCAGAAAGGGTGACTATGTACGCATAAGTAAGCATAGAGAAGCTTTTTCCAAGGGCTATACCCCTAATTGGTCTAATGAAATTTTTCGCATAAAAACATTGAAAATTACTAACCCAACAACATATTTGATTCAAGATGAAAACAGCCAAGATATTCTAGGAGGATTTTACGAACAAGAATTACAAAAAGTCCAACATCATGATGCATATCTTGTAGAAAAAATTTTAAGAAAAAAAGGAAATAAAGTTTTTGTAAAATGGTTAGGTTTGGATTCCAGACATAACTCGTGGATAAATAGAAAGGATGTATCAAATTAGCAAAATAAAACTTTTATTAATATTGTTTTTTTTTTTTTTTTTATTTCAAAACATTTTTCACAACTAATCTATTTTTGAATCTGTGTATTTTATCCAGGATAGGCTCTAAAATAAGTTGACAATTTTCAATTCTTCTGTTAAAATGGTACTTTTCGATAAGCTCTTGAGACACCATTCTTGATCTCCTGTAGGCAAAATTCCATGCAACCATTAAATGAATTTTGTTTCTACTTTCATCAAAAGAAACTGCTTTTTTCATGGCCACGTTTCACTTTCAAATGTTCAATTAATTGCTTCGGGTAACAGATGAGACACTCCAACATTGTACTGACATTTTCACTATTTGGATGGTCTTTCAGGCACAGGCTGTCTTGAATTTTTTGCAGGTTGTCTTCTTCAATGGGTCCAGAACTTTTGAAAAAGTTCAAATATGTATTGAACTTTTGTTTTCGTAAAATATCCAAACGATATTCAATTAGAGGCGCAAGTTCCCAAAGCTTGCAGACACTTTCGTTGCCTAGGTAAATATAACCAATACCTTTTACAATTTTTATTAATGGTATTTGGTCAAGTTTTTCAAAGTAAATAGCAACTTTTTGAATATATATTGGCTCATTGAAATTGTTATAGGAACAACTGTAACAGCTTATGACTTCCTGATACTGTAGAATAGAGTTCCATTCTTCTTCAGTTAGTAATATAGATTGATTATTTTTCCCTCCAATCTGGATATGAGGTTCAAAATTATATTCAACGGATAATCCAATATTGATAAATTTGCTTTGAGATTTATTTAAATAATATCGTTTAGCACTAATAATCGACGAATCGTCCACTTTTTCCGATTCACGCGTACTGGTACCACTGATTTTGCTAAACATTTTGTAGATACTAACGTTTTTTAAAAGCAAACATTTGCTTTTTATTCCTGTTACTGTTATGAAAAAAAGTGGGGAGGAATAAAATAAACTTTTTTTTTTTAAATCATGTTTAGTAATGGCTTTTATTTTTTAAAAACAATAATATAGTACATATTATTATAATACAAATTGATATAGTTGAAACTAAACCTATTAAAAATCCATTACAATTACTATCTGTACATGCTGCTGTTTCATTCAATTTAATCCAGTTTGAGTAAATAGTTTCCTTATTGTTTAAATAGAATTTAATTTTAAAATAATTACATTCTCTTGCACAGTTTTCAGTTAAATTATAATTGTAAACATATGGATAATTGCTAATGTATGTCAATTCCATATTTTGATAGCAATCAGTATCGTTTTTGTGTTTATTAATACAAATTTTTGCTGTTTTACTAATGGGAATATGGTTAACATACATTTTATTTCCAATTATGGAAAATAGTACAAATACTGGAGCTACAATCATTGTTCTTAAAATACTAACACTAACCTATTTAAAAATATGATTTATATACTAATTTGAACTATGTTGATTGTCATCCCTTTAAGTCAATAAATAACACAAGTTCAATGCCAGAACTGCGAAGAAACAGATAATAATGTGTTTTTCAAATTTCACTGCGGTTTTCACATTTTTATCTTGAATATTCTTCAATCTTAGGGATTCACTTACCCATTGAGCATAGGGGCAGTTTTTGTAATATATCAAGTGTTCTTCCAATGGTGAATCATTGACTTCCCAGTTGTATGCTTGAATTTTACAATAGGGGCACTGACAAATATCCGAAACTTGAGTATAATAAAATCCAGCCTTTGCCAATTGCACAGGGCTTAATTTGCCTTTCCAATTTTTGAAACTTAATAATCGTTGTTCGAAATTTTTATAGGTAAAGTAATCTTCGGGAACTGAATCTTTCATAATCACCATGTTATCGTCTTCTGCGCACATGGTAGAAATGTTTAATAAAAGAAAAAAAACAAATATTTCATTTATATATATTCAAAAGCTGACGGGGGGCGTTAAGCGGGGCTTTTTATTTTTTGTTTCACCTTCATTCTCCATAATTAGTGCTTTCAGTGTATTTACCATACTCTCAATTGCGGAAATATCTCGGTGGCCCCACGCCAACGTTTTTGTAGTACTTGAAAGTAGATATCGTTTATCAACATGGCTGCTCAATGCAATTTTACTTATTAAATTTGTATATATATTATGCATATCAGATTTAAAAACATACATTGTAACATAAATCTTATCATTCTTTTCAACTACATTTTTATAAAGGGATAGATCTAATTGTTTTTTTAGTCGATTTGGATATGCCTTTTGCCTTTTTATCTAAGCTATTTTTAGTTTTTACGCAATAGGCCTTACTTCCGGTTCCATAAAAGCTTTCAATGGGAATCCCACAATATTCATCTTTAAATTTACCAACTACTGAGTCAGTAATAGGGATGTTATGCATATTAGGCGTGGAATAATTGGATGTATCAAACTTTACCAAACTTTGTTTCATATCTTCGTAAAAGTTATCGGTCTGAATCTCCAATATCAAGCTATCCGTGTCAGTATATAACAAAGAAATATTGTTATCATATATTTTTTTTAAATGCCCATAGTAAAAATCATACATTACAGTTTTTGAAATATCTAATACACACATTCCCACGTAAATAGGCTTGTTGTAGGTAATGCATATTTTTTGAAGTTGAATTGCTACTAAATTTTCTGAGAAAATTTTCAAGTCTTTAAATTGTGGTTTGGCAATCAACCTTTCAGCACATAACTTTTTACCCGATCGTTCCCACTGTGTCACCAACTTAATATCGACTCGTTTCTCAACATTTTCCATAGTTTTTCCATATATGCTATTATTCGCTAGTTTATAAGAATTTTTGTGAAATTTGTTTTTTGCAGCGTTTCGTAACTTTGTATTTAAATCAATGTATGATTTCAATCAGGGCGATTGAGAAAATTTTACTCCTCTGTGAACTTTCAAAATTTTAAGTCCAAGTTCCAAACATTGTTTTAAATTACGGTAATGTATAACATAGTTATACTTATTATTTAAATTAGGAATAAGTTTAGGATATTTTGATATTGGAGGTGTCATTTGTTTGGGGCAAAGAGGTAAATCGTTATGCTTATCGTGAAGATTTTTAGGGTACTCAAGGTCAACCTCAAACACATAGCCAATATCTGCATTGTCTGAGAGTTTTGAAATTTCAATTGATTTTATTCCATCATCAGAAACCCAGGAAAAGTCTTTTTGTGGCAGGTATTGACTCATAGCATAACCATATAAATTGGTGGCATCTAGATAGGCAATATATGTTGTTGGAATATTTTGATTAAAAGTGTCAAGCAATGGATTATTTGCTTCAGATTTGCGGGATGTGCAAGTACTGACTCCACCTCGAATGCCTTTTTTAAAAAAATGATGCATATCTGGATCTGTTATCAGCTCTAATTCGACATTGCTCAATTTCATCATAGCATCCCAACACATTGATGGACTACTTACATAGTTAACAGGGTCCAGTTTATATGTTTTAAGACATAGTGTTCTATAATTTTCAAAAATATCCGCCAACAACAAAACATTTGATTTTAGATAGATGTCAGAATATTCACCCAAAGTAGAACAGTTGAATAACTTCCACACTGACACAGCGCGTTCATAATCCTCAGC